TTTGATTACCCTCTAACACCTGATTGTACACACTTGGTCGTCCAATTACCCTCTAATACCTGATTGTACACACTTGGTCGTCCAATTACCCTCTAAAACCTGATTGTACACACTTCGTCGTCCAATTACCCTCTAACACCTGATTGTAAACACTTTGTCGTCCAGTTACCCTCTACTACCTGATTGTACACACTAGGTCGTCCAATTACCCTCTACTACCTGATTGTACACACTGGGTCGTCCAATTACCCTCTAACACCTGATTGTACTCACTTTGTCGTCCAATTACCCTCTAACACCTGATTGTAAACACTTTGTCGTCCAGTTACGCTCTAACACCTGATTGTACTCACTTTGTCGTCCAATTACCCTCTAACACCTGATTGTAAACACTTGGTCGTCCAGTTACCCTCTAACACCTGATTGTAAACACTTTGTCGTCCAATTACCCTCTAACACCTGATTGTACTCACTTTGTCGTCCAATTACCCTCTAACACCTGATTGTAAACACTTGGTCATCCAATTACCCTCTAACACCTGATTGTACTCACTTTGTCATCCAATTACCCTCTAACACCTGATTGTACACACTTGGTCGTCCAATTACCCTCTAACACCTATATTGTACTCACTTTGTCGCCCAATTACCCTGTAAAAGCAAATTGTACACACTTGGTTGCCCAATCACACTGAAAGCTAATTGTACACATTTGATTTGTTCATTATTAGCGATTATAAGGAAGAGAATTTTTGGATGTCAACTTCTTTATTATGAGGAACACAAGGTTTCGGAGTATATGCTTATACTCCTTCATCAGGTAGATATACGTTTCAGCTTCTTTTGTTTGAATCAAACTTATCTGTCAGTAAGTGCAAAACTGCCACCTTACAACAGAGGGCTCACACAAAAGTGAATGCAACATATTGTTGTCAAAATTTATCCACTGGAGGGGTTGACTCTTTCTCCAATGGATCACAACACCCTGCTTACAGCACGATACACCATCCATGATAGTCTGTAGCACAAGAAAATACAGATGAAAATCATGGGGTCCTTGTCATAATCCCAGTGTAGTCAAGTTAAGATTAAAGGATATTTCCCTTACTATTGGTATTGGCCCCAGTCAGACAAAGCCAATTGTTACACTGCACGTAACACTAGAACAAACTATCAGTGATTGTAACTTTGAAAGCCATCCGTAGGTCAGTCTGAACATCATGTCAAGCTGGTATTATGTAAGGGCCTGAATGGAAACATTCACACAGAGCCATTGCAGAGCAGACTATGTACACATATGCAAAAAACTGAAACACAGCCTTTGAGACACTTTCTCTACGCTCCAGCTCTTTAGGCTCACTGTAATGTATTCACAGGACTCCTTAATAAATCAGTTTAAGAAACTCCCCACTCGTCCTTAACTCACTACCAGTCAAATTTGAGAAAGAAACTAGTATTCATTTTGGGGGGATGTCATCTAATAAATCATAGTTAGTCAAAGATTTGTTACTGCTGTTGGATCAATGTAAAAGCAGGATTCTGAAAGGTAATGGTAGAAGTTTGATCAGCTCGATTACAACACACAAATGTTGAAACTGTGTGTGCAGTACTATTTTGCCTATAGTTATATGTGTTAAAGAATGTAGTTAAGTCAAGCAAACACACAGTGGATGCATCTACATTTTTAGTTGTTAACCAGTTAACCATTTACTTTTAATTGTCAGAATATTCCTTAATTTCAACCAGTCAGCTACATAAACCAGACAGAATGTTATTGGTTGCAAATGTTTTGTCAAGAGATGATAGGTTGAAGTGTAGTGGTAGTAACTGGTTGAAGCCGTTTGTTGGACCATAAGGAGTATCTGTATCTGAGAAAGGACAAGTAAACCATCTAGAGTTGTCTTCCTTATCACATCATGCCCAAGTGTCATGAGTATGGCCGCACTTACTTGTTTTCTTAAAGTTATGAAAAAGTTTGCAAAAGTCTCTGCCATTTACGCCTATGATACTTCCACTGACAGTTATTTATAATGTCCTACTGACTGCATACAAGCATTGAGAGTGTAATGCAGTTGCCGTGTAATCTTCCTGTGATGAAATATCCACATGCTGAAGGACTGTCTGGTGGGAACATTTCCGTACTTCCAGACTGGTATGGTCAGCTGACAATCAATCTCTCATTAAAATTAGATTTCAATGCTCACTACCGCGATGTCACGACGACATTTCATGAGCTTTAACCGACCAATGTAATGACTAACAGGAAGCTCAACATTAGCCAGTCAGACAGTAGCTTTCTCAAGCTTTACAGCTCATTCCAGAGTGCACTTGAAAAATATTTTAACAAGGTTCTCCATTCAAAATTTGAGAAATGGCTAATAGATGGCCGAGATTGTATGGCAGTTACTTCCCACAGGCTATCAAAAATCTTCCGCTTCAAATGTTCATTCTATTGAAGTGAAGACTGATTAGCATTTGAAATCAACCCATAACTATCAGTGGGAAAGCCCCCATGTTAATCATTTCAAGGTTGCATGATTAGAAATCACATTCAGACTTTCACTTTTGTGATCTCATAAGAGAGGCTCTGATTGGTTGGATGAAGGTTGTCCTGACATGATCTGTAATGCAGGGATGAGAATGGATATTTTCCTTTTCAGCTGAAACATCTTTGCAATGGAGCGTGGTCCATGATTTGGGGGTGTTTACGGGGGAAGCCATCAGATTTTAACAAATGTGTGGTCACTAAAACCCGCGGATGTCCTCATATATTTGTTTAGTGGTAGCAAGCACTAACATCTGATTTTGATGAGATTGGCTGACAATGGACCATATATCAATCTAGAGAACCTGATGCGGAAATACACAAGTCCATCCACTAAACAATCTGAACAGTGTTTGGCACAGCCTGGTGAAGTACTTTACTCTGAAAATTGAGCACATACCAGGTTGTCAGTCAGCCATTTATCTACTGAGGATTAGTTTAAGGAGGAGAGATCACCTGTATGCATCTAATGAATCCAGACATAAAGAACAAAACATTTCTACCTGACACCAGACATCTGATGAACCAATCACACATACACAAGCAAAAGAACATACAACCAGGCAGGGCTGTAGCTAATGTTTCAATGCTTGGGGGTAGGCCAGCTGAAGTTCTTGACATGTAAATATCACACATCTACATAATAATCAAGTAAATCATGAAAATATAAAGAATACAAATGCTGTGTTTGACTGAATACAGGTTATCATGAACATCTCACTGACTGTATTTTGGGCTTTAAGTTTAATGTAAGTCATATTTTTTATCAACCACAAATCAATGCTTCCTGCATACTGAAAGTCTGTAACAAGAAAATGATGACCTGGCAAGACAGTAGAACATAAGCTGGATTTTGAAAGAGACTGTGCTGAATTGGTCTGACAATGAGTTGATATCTCAGTTTTCAAGTTTACTTTGCAAGCCACTTTCGATGGATTTCATAGACTATAAATATTGTGAGCCACTTCATGTCATGTGACCCATATTCATATCAGGTAAAGATGCAGTGAAGTTGAAAGACTAAGGAAAGCTTGCTATGACATCGGTACACTTGGACTTTCAGCCCAGTCAAGCTAAGACCTTATGTCAAAGGTTAATTCATAGCAGCTGGTCACATCAACAGACTCTAAGTGACAGCCTGTAAATCAACTTGTTGATGTGTCAAAGATGTCCCATGTCGGTATCTACAACAGTGCATGAGGCCGACGAAGGTGAGAGACAGTCTATTGTAGACTTCTTTGAGACAAGAAAGCGTGCAACCATCTGTGAAGATGAAGAGGAGGCAGTCGAATCCAAACGACTGAAAAGTACTTTCCGTACATCCAAAACAGCAGGTTGAGCCGAAGTTGACTGGACAGTTGAGATGGGAACGTCCTCCATTAGAAAGCTGTCAGATACGCCAAAAATCCCTGACTGACAGCCAAAAGTCATAAGAGCAGGATCGTTATCAGTATCTCCAACGATGCCAGTAACTGGCAGAAGGGGAATCTGTATAGTAATCATCCTGAGATTTTTTATCCTTGTCAGCGATTCTTGGATGAAGAACGATCCTAGTCAAAGCGTGAGCGCGATCTCGGCTTTGTTAATCCTACCTGCAGTAGTGGACAAACTCATACACGCATAGATGTCTTCGTCAAATGAGAGACACTGTGTCTTGAACCGAAGTGGATAATTCAACAATGATAGGAACAAAACGGAAAGGATATCGGGTGCAACATCGACTGGCGGCTCAGAATCTGGTAGCACCAGCAGGGTTGGCGATCAGCGCTGTCGAGGCTGGCATGGATAAAAAGCTACAGAACTACAGTCTTGTGTGCTGCAGCTGCAACAAACTCAGCAGCTAACATGATAAAATCAGAGGTGGAAAAATATGTCTGCCTCTCTATTCTTCTCCTTTATTTAGGACATTTTATGGTCAGTTCCCATTTTCCCATAATTTACTAACATAAATTATACACAATAGTGGAGGAACTTCGTAAAATAATAATAATGTATTCTCTATTTTTAATATACGTCTCCACTATGTGCCGATAAGAAAGAGAATGACGTGGCAGGGGTTAGCATGTGATCAGGTTGTGGAGGTCACTATGCACAGGAATATAGTGCAGGACCCATCTGCTTGGATGGTGACCATGGTGATGCTGAGATGTGTTCGGGTGAATTATTTTTTTAAGCTTGAAACTTTGTTGACGCACGTTACCACATAGGATCGAAGAAAGAAGAAATGCATAGTGTGAGATAGGATAAGTTTAATATACATTACAGCAAAGAGGGATATTCAGATCAATAGAGGTACCCAGTACATGAAAATTTACTCAATGACATTTGAGGTTGATGTTTCTCAGGTCAGCATACATGAAGTGTTTGTGGTCCATAGTACTGACATTCCATTCCCTCAGCACTAGCTGGTTTACAGCTATTTCTGTGACCTGAATAGAAGGAACAAAGAACTCACCTTCTTTGCATGTCTTCCTCTGAAATACTGCTGTGGCACATTGAGCTGAACTTGGACACGAAAAAGTCGTAGCGTCTGTGGTATGATGGAGTGTCTTCTTCAATGTTGGCGAACTTTACAAACTGAAAAAACAAACAGTTGTGTCAGTATGGTCAATAACCATGGTAACAGACATAAACACTGACTTTTGCTTTTGTGTAATGGATGACTACAACAAACGCACGGTTAGTGAACAGGTTGTGACCCTAGATGAGTTAACTTTTAGTTAGGGAACAGCATGTGCCCCCATGAAAAATTGTTACAACACAACTTGTTTATTCAGGACCCAGACTCAAACTGCCGTTTCTACAAAATCTGTTACATCCTCTCAACCTAACCATTACTTAATAACATTAGAAAGTCCCCACCCCACTGACAGTGTATACATGTGTTATCGCTTCCGATATCTAGAGTTATCTCCCTTTTGACCCTTGTCTCTAATACCCAGACAAGTGAACAGTATGTGCCCCAAGATGCATGAACTACAGTCACTGAACAGTATGTGCCCCTAGACGAGTGAACTACAGTCAGTGAACAGTATGTGCCCCTAGACAAGTGAACTACAGTCAGTGAACAGTATGTGCCCCTAGACAAGTGAACTACAGTTAGTGAACAGCCTGTGCCCCTAGACAAGTGAACTACAGTCAGTGAACAGTATGTGCCCCTAGACAAGTGAACTACAGTCAGTGAACAGTATGTGCCCCAAGACAGGTGAACTACAGTCAGTGAACAGTATGTGCCCCTAGACGAGTAAACTACAGTCAGTGAACAGTATGTGCCCCTAGACGAGTGAATACAGTCAGTGAACAGTATGTGCACCTAGACAAGTGAACTACAGTCAGTGAACAGTATGTGCCCCTAGACGAGTGAACTACAGTCAGTGAACAGTATGTGCCCCTAGACAAGTGAACTACAGTCAGTGAACAGTATGTGCCCCTAGACGAGTGAACTACAGTCAGTGAACAGTATGTGCACCTAGACGAGTGAACTACAGTCAGTGAACAGTATGTGCCCCTAGACGAGTGAACTACAGTCAGTGAACAGTATGTGCCCCTAGACAAGTGAACTACAGTTAGTGAACAGTATGTGCCCCTAGACAAGTGAACTACAGTCAGACAACAGTATGTGCCCCTAGACAAGTGAACTACAGTCAGTGAACAGTATGTGCCCCTAGACAAGTGAACTACAGTTAGTGAACAGCCTGTGCCCCTAGACAAGTGAACTACAGTCAGACAACAGTATGTGCCCCTAGACAAGTGAACTACAGTCAGTGAACAGTATGTGCCCCTAGACGAGTGAACTACAGTCAGTGAACAGTATGTGCCCCTAGTCGAGTGAACTACAGTTAGTGAACAGCCTGTGCCCCTAGACAAGTGAACTACAGTCTGTGAACAGTATGTGCACCTAGACAAGTGAACTACAGTCAGTGAACAGTATGTGCCCCTAGACGAGTAAACTACAGTCAGTGAACAGTATGTGCCCCTAGACGAGTGAATACAGTCAGTGAACAGTATGTGCACCTAGACAAGTGAACTACAGTCAGTGAACAGTATGTGCCCCTAGACGAGTGAACTACAGTCAGTGAACAGTATGTGCCCCTAGACGAGTGAACTACAGTCAGTGAACAGTATGTGCCCCTAGACAAGTGAACTACAGTTAGTGAACAGCCTGTGCCCCTAGACAAGTGAACTACAGTCAGACAACAGTATGTGCCCCTAGACAAGTGAACTACAGTCAGTGAACAGTATGTGCCCCTAGACGAGTGAACTACAGTCAGTGAACAGTATGTGCCCCTAGTCGAGTGAACTACAGTTAGTGAACAGCCTGTGCCCCTAGACAAGTGAACTACAGTCAGTGAACAGTATGTGCACCTAGACAAGTGAACTACAGTCAGACAACAGTATGTGCCCCTAGACAAGTGAACTACAGTCAGTGAACAGTATGTGCCCCTAGACGAGTGAACTACAGTCAGTGAACAGTATGTGCCCCTAGACAAGTGAACTACAGTTAGTGAACAGCCTGTGCCCCTAGACAAGTGAACTACAGTCGGACAACAGTATGTGCCCCTAGACGAGTGAACTACAGTCAGTGAACAGTATGTGCACCTAGACAAGTGAACTACAGTTAGTGAACAGCCTGTGCCCCTAGACAAGTGAACTACAGTCAGTGAACAGTATGTGCCCCTAGACAAGTGAACTACAGTCAGTGAACAGTATGTGCACCTAGACAAGTGAACTACAGTCAGACAACAGTATGTGCCCCTAGACAAGTGAACTACAGTCAGTGAACAGTATGTGCCCCTAGACGAGTGAACTACAGTCAGTGAACAGTATGTGCCCCTAGACAAGTGAACTACAGTCAGTGAACAGCATGTGCCCCTAGACAAGTGAACTACAGTCAGACAACAGTATGTGCCCCTAGACGAGTGAACTACAGTCAGTGAACAGTATGTGCCCCTAGACGAGTGAACTACAGTTAGTGAACAGCCTGTGCCCCTAGACAAGTGAACTACAGTCAGTGAACAGTATGTGCCCCTAGACGAGTGAACTACAGTCAGTGAACAGTATGTGCCCCTAGTCGAGTGAACTACAGTTAGTGAACAGCCTGTGCCCCTAGACAAGTGAACTACAGTCAGTGAACAGTATGTGCACCTAGACAAGTGAACTACAGTCAGTGAACAGTATGTGCCCCTAGACGAGTGAACTACAGTCACTGAACAGTATGTGCCCCTAGACAAGTGAACTACAGTCAGACAACAGTATGTGCCCCTAGACAAGTGAACTACAGTCAGTGAACAGTATGTGCCCCTAGACGAGTGAACTACAGTCAGTGAACAGTATGTGCCCCTAGACAAGTGAACTACAGTTAGTGAACAGCCTGTGCCCCTAGACAAGTGAACTACAGTCAGACAACAGTATGTGCCCCTAGACGAGTGAACTAGTCAGTGAACAGTATGTGCCCCTAGACAAGTGAACTACAGTTAGTGAACAGCCTGTGCCCCTAGACAAGTGAACTACAGTCAGTGAACAGTATGTGCACCTAGACAAGTGAACTACAGTCAGACAACAGTATGTGCCCCTAGACAAGTGAACTACAGTCAGTGAACAGTATGTGCCCCTAGACGAGTGAACTACAGTCAGTGAACAGTATGTGCCCCTAGACAAGTGAACTACAGTTAGTGAACAGCCTGTGTCCCTAGACAAGTGAACTACAGTCAGACAACAGTATGTGCCCCTAGACGAGTGAACTACAGTCAGTGAACAGTATGTGCCCCTAGACGAGTGAACTACAGTTAGTGAACAGCCTGTGCCCCTAGACAAGTGAACTACAGTCAGTGAACAGTATGTGCCCCTAAACGAGTGAACTACAGTCAGTGAACAGTATGTGCCCCTAGTCGAGTGAACTACAGTTAGTAAACAGCCTGTGCCCCTAGACAAGTGAACTACAGTCAGTGAACAGTATGTGCACATAGACAAGTGAACTACAGTCAGTGAACAGTATGTGCCCCTAGATGAGTGAACTACAGTCAGTGAACAGTATGTGCCCCTAAACAAGTGAACTACAGTCAGACAACAGTATGTGCCCCTAGACAAGTGAACTACAGTCAGTGAACAGTATGTGCCCCTAGACAAGTGAACTACAGTCAGTGAACAGTATGTGCCCCTATTTGAGCGAACTACAGTCAGTGAACAGTATGTGCCCCGAGACAAGTGAACTACAGTCAGTGAACAGTATGTGCCCCAAGACAAGTCAACTTACAGTCTGATAACAGTATGTGCTCCAAGATCAGTGAACTTACAGTCTGTGAACAGTATGTGCTCCTAGACAGGTGAACTGCAGTCAATGAACAGTATGTGCCCCAAGAAGAGTGAACTTACAGTCTGTGAACAGTATGTGCTTCTAGACAAGTGAACTGCAGTCAGTGAACAGTATGTGCCCCCAAACAAGTGAACTACAGTCAGTGAACAGTATGTGCCCCTAGACAAGTAAACTACAGTCAGTGAACAGTATGTGCCCCTAGACAAGTGAACTATAGTCAGTGAACAGTATGTGCCCCAAGACGTGTGAACTACAGTCAGTGAACAGTATGTGCTCCTAGACGAGTGAACTACAGTCAGTGAACAGTATGTGCCCCTAGACGTGTGAACTACAGTCAGTGAGCAGTATGTGCCCCTAGACAAGTGAACTACAGTCAGTGAACAGTATGTGGCCTTATACAAGTGAACTAGTCAGTGAACAGTATGTGCCCCTAGACAAGTAAACTAGTCAGTGAACAGTATGTGCCCCTAGACAAGTGAACTATAGTCAGTGAACAGTATGTGCACCTAGACAAGTGAACTACAGTCAGACAACAGTATGTGCCCCTAGGACAAGTAGCTACAGTCAGACAACAGTATGTGCCCCTAGACAAGTGAACTACAGTCACTGAACAGTATGTGCCCCTAGATAAGTGAACTACAGTCAGACAACAGTATGTGCCCCTAGACAAGTGAACTACAGTCAGACAACAGTATGTGCCCCTAGACAAGTGAACTACAGTCAGACAACAGTATGTGCCCCTAGACAAGTGAACCTACAGTCAGTGAACAGTATGTGCCCCTAGACAAGTGAAGTACAGTCAGTGAACAGTATGTGCCCCTTAACAAGTGAACTACAGTCAGTGAAAAGTATGTGCCCCTAGACAAGTGAACTACAGTCAGTGAACAGTATGTGCCCCTAGACAAGTGAACTACAGTCAGTGAATAGTATGTGCCCCTAGACAAGTGAACTACAGTCAGTGAACAGTATGTGCCCCTAGACAAGTGAACTACAGTCAGTGAACAGTATGTGCCCCTATTTGAGTGAACTACAGTCAGACAACAGTATGTGCACCTAGACAAGTGAACTACAGTCAGTGAACAGTATGTGCCCCTAGACAAGTGAACTACAGTCAGTGAACAGTATGTGCCCCAAGACAAGTCAACTTACAGCCTGATAACAGTATGTGCTCCAAGATCAGTGAACTTACAGTCTGTGAACAGTATGGGCTCCTAGACAAGTGAACTGCAGTCAATGAACAGTATGTGCCCCAAGAAGAGTGAACTTACAGTCTGTGAACAGTATGTGCTTCTAGACAAGTGAACTGCAGTCAGTGAACAGTATGTGCCCCCAAACAAGTGAACTACAGTCAGTGAACAGTATGTGCCCCTAGACAAGTAAACTACAGTCAGTGAACAGTATGTGCCCCTAGACAAGTGAACTATAGTCAGTGAACAGTATGTGCCCCAAGACGTGTGAACTACAGTCAGTGAACAGTATGTGCTCCTAGACGAGTGAACTACAGTCAGTGAACAGTATGTGCCTCTAGACGTGTGAACTACAGTCAGTGAACAGTATGTGCCCCAAGACTTGTGAACTACAGTCATCGAACAGTATGTGCCCCTAGACGAGTGAACTACAGTCAGTGAGCAGTATGTGCCCCTAGACAAGTGAACTACAGTCAGTAAACAGCATGTGCCCCTAGACAAGTGAACTACAGTCAGACAACAGTATGTGCCCCTAGACGAGTGAACTACAGTCAGTGAACAGCCTGTGCCCCTAGACAAGTGAACTACAGTCAGTGAACAGCATGTGCCCCTAGACAAGTGAACTACAGTCAGACAACAGTATGTGCCCCTAGACAAGTGAACTACAGTTAGTGAACAGCCTGTGCCCCTAGACGAGTGAACTACAGTCAGTGAACAGTATGTGCCCCTAGACGTGTGAACTACAGTCAGTGAGCAGTATGTGCCCCTAGACAAGTGAACTACAGTCAGTGAACAGTATGTGGCCTTAGACAAGTGAACTACAGTCAGTGAACAGTATGTGCCCCTAGACAAGTAAACTAGTCAGTGAACAGTATGTGCCCCTAGACAAGTGAACTATAGTCAGTGAACAGTATGTGCCCCTAGACAAGTGAACTACAGTCAAACAGTATGTGCCCCTAGACAAGTAGCTACAGTCAGACAACAGTATGTGCCCCTAGACAAGTGAACTACAGTCACTGAACAGTATGTGCCCCTAGATAAGTGAACTACAGTCAGACAACAGTATGTGCCCCTAGACAAGTTAACTACAGTCAGACAACAGTATGTGCCCCTAGACAAGTGAACTACAGTGAGACAACAGTATGTGCCCCTAGACAAGTGAACCTACAGTCAGTGAACAGTATGTGCCCCTAGACAAGTGAACTACAGTCAGTGAACAGTATGTGCCCCTAGACAAGTGAACTACAGTCAGTGAATAGTATGTGCCCCTATTTGAGTGAACTACAGTCAGTGAACAGTATGTGCCCCTAGACAAGTGAACTACAGTCAGTGAACAGTATGTGCCCCTATTTGAGTGAACTACAGTCAGACAACAGTATGTGCACCTAGACAAGTGAACTACAGTCAGTGAACAGTATGTGCCCCTAGACAAGTGAACTACAGTCAGTTAACAGTATGTGCCCCTATTTGAGTGAACTACAGTCAGACAACAGTATGTGCCCCTAGACAAGTGAACTACAGTCAGTGAACAGTATGTGCCCCTAGACAAGTAAACTACATTCAGTGAACAGTATGTGCCCCTAGACAAGTGAACTACAGTCAGACAACAGTATGTGCCCCTAGACAAGTGAACCTACAGTCAGTGAACAGTATGTGCCCCTAGACAAGTGAACTACAGTCAGACAACAGTATGTGCCCCTAGACAAGTGAACTACAGTCAGTGAACAGTATGTGCCCCAAGACAAGTGAACCTACAGTCAGAGAACAGTATGTGCCCCTAGACAAGTGAACCTACAGAGCTTGTGGCCAGGATCTGCAGCTCCGGCTCTTCACACTCAAGCAGTTTCTGCACCATCTTGAGGAAGCTCTCCACAAACAGGTTGAGGGACTGGGCGTGGCAGGACTTTAACAGTTGGTCCAGGGCATCCATGGCAATAAACACAAACCTGCAACATCAGCATTGTAACCTGTTTGTATTATATATTGTAGGCTTCCTCCAACACACAAACCATATGCCTAACCTTCTACAGATTGTCCTTTGCACCTAGAGATTGTTACAATTCTGATTATTGTGTGATGAATTTTAAGCAGAAACCTGAAAATATTCTAGAATGACTTTGCTCAAGTCAGACTGGTTAATCAGAGGTTTTATATCATAATAGCAAGCCAGTTACACATACTTTTACACATTCACTTTCAAATAAAACTTTAGAGGCACCAATTCAAATAAACATACTTCATAATCAAAAGTAAATAAAGTAGGTTAATATCTCACATAAGGGGGAATGGAGGCAACCACTTATTAATTATCTAAAATATATCATACAAACATCTGTATTGTGCCTTAATGTTATCTGAAATAAACTGAACTTCTATTTACACTCAGGCAGCTATCAGAGGCATTAGGGGTACAAAATCAAAATTATTTCAGCAACATATACATGTACGTATAAGTATGAATTCAATACAAAACATCTTTGTGGTGGTTTGTTTAGTTGGATCCTGTGAAATATATCTATGGAGACCTTCTAATATGAGACTTATTCACATGTATCAAAAATCTGGTTATTTCCAATGTAATATGATCAAACATTACCTTAACCTGTCAAATTTTGCTCTGTGCACTAAAATCTGACTTACGGTATGCGATGTCTGTGCACTTCTCTGTTGAGCCTCTGTTCAAGATACTGACCAATCTTGTCCAGCTTGTCAGGTGACGATACGGCATAGAATGTCAACTGAGCCATATTGTTCTTTACCAGTCCATCCTAAAAACGTATAAAGAATGTGATATATATCCTAATGGATGGCATTGATATATGAGGTTGTGTGATAACCGCTTCTGCAAATTTCATGATCCTCCAGTGTTAAAAAGTAGTGATGCTAAACAGTCTGTTGCCAAGTTTCAGGCCAGATGTCTATGTTGTATTTTGTGCCATGTGTGGAACTGAGACAATGTCTGATGTGAGAGAGAGAGAGGTGAAATGGGGTTTAACGTTCTGTTCAAGATTATTGCACTTTTATAGTGACATACATGCATGTGTTTGTGTGGCTGCTTGTACTAGTCCATACTAATGCCGGCTGTGTAGAGCAAGTCCACTGAGGTACTATGCCACAGTTCAACATGGATACCCAATCAGATACAGTATGTTGACTCTAAGATGACCAGTCCTTGTTTCAGCCCCTTGATCAATTTAATCCAGCTCTCCAGGCCAGGTAACAAATGCCATTTTTTTACTTATGACAGGACCAGGCATCAAACCGCTGACCGTCCATTCTCTGGGAAGACGTTATATCCACAAGACTAAGCGGCATAAAATCAGTCTGTGACTTGGCCACTTGTCCAAAGACTAAGTCTAGTAAAGTTTTCTTTCAAGCAAGTAAGCTTTGCTAATAAAATTGTAAATTTTCTAATAAATTGTATATTTATATACTTATCCTATCTCACAATATGCATTTCCTCTAATTCTTCGATCTTGGTGTGGAAACGTCCGAGAACAAAGTTTCCAGCTTCAAAAACACCACTCACCCAAACACATCACCAAATCACCACTGTGATCATGGTTCACACACCAATAAAATCCCGTGCAACACGACCCCAGCGACCTGATCACCTGACATATCCAGCACCCTCATTCACAATCTAGAGCGTACAGGCTGGTGTAACTGTGATGTGGGGATGGTTGGGTGGGCATTTAGCGTGTGAGATAGGATAAGTATATAAATATACAATTTATTAGAAAATTTACAAATTTGTAAACTTATCCTATCTCACACTATGCATTTATCCCACGGTTGGATGGTGGGGCGCAGATACCCTAGCCTGTAAGGACCTCAACTGTGAGACGTACAAGAGGAAGCTGGAACTAATCAGGAAAATTCAAAGGAATTTACAAGGATTAGTGATAAACTCGTGTAAGGGTTGCTTAAAAAAAAACCTCTTTGTGCTATCAAGAGATATACATCATGACATCTGGGAATCATGTGTTCCATGGTTTCACACAGGACGCCGTTCCAAGAACGACCGCATTACCATGAGCCAGGCGACACTTACTCGGTCACGACTTAACCTCACCCCGGATAGGAGGAGGTGTTTTGTTTTAAAACACTCCGTCCCCGGCGTAGGTCCTAGGACAGACCTCACACATACGCTCCCAAGGACGTAAGGCGAACCAGCTTGGCATCTCTTTTTTCGCTTCATCAACCTATCAAACTTGCATAGAGATTGAATAAGGTAAGAACGAGAAGAGGAACGATTGACGATACCTGTTTAACACACGTCTTCAATCAACTACTGAGACATCACATGTGCAAAGACAGAGGTGAGCAGGTAGAAGATTGGGACACCATTTAACACATGGCCGCACCGGATGGTGGCTTCTATTGACGTAGACCGAAGTCCCAACAGACAAGCATATATACCTTCCCAATGGGAGCTTGTCTGGGAAACCTGATTAACATAAGCAATAAATGAAAATATTGCAGTATACACAGGAAACCAGACTTCGGACTTGTAGTCCGCTGGGCTTCCTCATCTGCGCTGTGTGGCTGCTGTGACCTTGGACGTCGGCGACTGAGATTCCGAAAGGAGTAGGAGGCAAAGACCATATCAGAATGCCATAACATCCCTCCATGATGGCTGAGAGTGTGCAAGACTATGCAACGCCAAAGTGGAAGTCACTGCCCGCGTCTCAAGAGGATTGGAAGCAGCTGGATGGTAGTCCCTCAAAGGTGAAGAATAGATCTTGTAGGCTCAGGCTGGGCAAAGTGAGACGTCTTCCACGACATCAGCTCTCAATCAATGAGAGTGGTGGAGGCTGAAAAGACGATCCGGTTGTCCTTGAATACAACCAGATGCTGGAACTGGACTCAACCGACGTCTAAGCACGAGTCCCTCTAACATGAGCTGCAGGAGCCAGCACAAGCTGGAAGATCGTCATGAACGTAAAAGTTTGAGGTTTTTAACCACAAGTGGTTCATAGTCAGCCAGGAGAAGTGACGGAAGAATACAGGGAGATCCCATGCTGGAGGGCCAAGTCTGGAAGATTGGTCCATAAGGTGGTATGAGCGAATCAATGTCTGAAAGTCGGAAACCCTGGAGCCTGAGGTCATGGTAACACCTGAATTACTCCCAGTCTGAAAGATCTGTGTAGATCTAACGGTTCGGGAACTATAGTAAGTTTTATCCCATTAGTGAGTAGTTGGTACAGAACTTATCACTGCCCAGTGAGTGCCCAGTGTCGAACCATAAGATGCCTTGTACTTCATGGGTGACATAGGTAATCTGCTACTTGTGGTATAGTAGCTTGGCTGCACAAAAACCCTGGATCTTGAAAAATGGTGAAAACTTTTCCATTTATCGTCACAGAGATTCTCGTTGATTGACGAAGTGCTAAGGAGACTGCCTTAGCTGCTCTAATGGAAAATCCTTAGCGAGACTGCTCTTGATATACTCCATACGTGAAGTTCGTATAATTCTGGTCTTGGATGGACCTGATGGGAGGGAGGAAGCTGGAAACTTTGTTCTAGGACATTTCCACAACAAGATCGAAGAATTAGAGGAAATGCATAGTGTGAGATAGGATAAGTTTAAATATTCTTAAATCTGACTTTAAGATCTACTGAAAATAACTTCGAGTAACAGGTTCAGCCTAGTAGACTGAAATATTTTGGGCATATTGTTTTTTTTGTGCAAATATCAATATCACATATGTATAAAATTTGTATGTTGTGCCCTGTGTAAAAATGACACATCATCTTATTATATGAGATTATAATAATCATAAACTGCCATACTTAGGCTAGGTGTTTGTTGTTTCTAAAATAAAATCTGTATAACTGAACATCTGGCATTCTGAATGGAATGAGACTTGATTTACCTGCCATGCAGCGTTAGAACATTGGCAGTAGTCCTATAGTCCTTACCAAACTGCCCATTAGCTAAGGTATCCTAAGGAGTAAGGACAAGTCGAAATTTGCCCTTTTTAAGGATTTTGCTATATATTATCATTCTTAGGACAAGTGGGCTCAAACTGTTAGTTTCTATTGCAACCATGCCTCTGAAAATACCACAGAGAATGAACAATGTTCATTGGGTTTTATCAAATCATACAAAAAATATCTATTCTGCCTACAGAAACAAGAGTCATCAGAAAATGACAAATCCCCCAGCCCCCACAATAGCAAAAGTCAACACTTCAGACCCTGGTTAATACTTGTACAAGTTTGGATGAAAAAATCTTTCACAGCTTTCAAATTCAGAATTATTTTGAGGTGGCATTTAATGCAATAATATAAAAGAAAACATTGAATACTGTTCCTATTTATTGGTCTTGTTATAAGTTAATACAGGTTACTTCTACCAAGCCATAAAATTGGTTATCCATATTAATACATTGCAACCATGGTAACATGAATTAGGAAACGTTTAGATCCAAATTGGGAATTTTTTAATGACACTTACTGCAGAGTAAAATCCCTGCAGTAACGAGAATGACTTGACTTTCATTCTTAATTTCGAACACTACAAGAGGGAGGGTCAAGTAATCAGATCCACATGACTAATTCAAGACTTATACCCTCGCGACACGTGTTTCCATTGTATTAAGAAAAGCATTACGATAAACCAACCCGTTGACTTCGATAATTAATAAATGTGAAATAAATCGTTAGAACACTCACCTTTACACCATTTAATTACAAGGAAACATAATTTTGTCCACAAATGCCTCCGTATCGGCTGCTGTACAATAGCGGCCATTTTTACACAACGTCATATGTTTCGTGGTAAAGTTCATCGGGTCAAGCTACGGGTGGTTAGCACATGCCACAATGTCAAAGTTCTTTGGAATCGAAAGTTATGTTCCCAAGGCACTTCCAAACGTAACAAAATACAGATAACACTGTACTTAATTATGAAATATGAAATAACTGTCACTTGAACCCAAATTTTCAGATTATTTACAGTTTATGATCATGATCATCACAAATTTCGTTATTCTTCTTGGTGTCTGCAAGGTAGACCGTGACACGGACAGAAAAACACATCATGTCTACGAAGAAAGGAGATGTCACAACAGTATTTTAAATGCATCCAGTGTTCACAATTCCCATGCATGCACTGTCCCCACTTAGTGAACTCAACATGTGGACATCGCCTCAGTTCATCTGGCTGAAACTTTCCGCATACACAGCCCTTTTCGTCAACATCGTTGATAGATTCAGAATCTGATTGATCGTCGCTTGAGATAAGGAGCTTATCAATCCCCGATGGTCCAGGTTGTTGGGATGACACAACAGTTGGACGTGTAGCTGATTTCCTTATACTCTCCTGCTTATCCTTGCTAGTAGACTTGGTAGTTGGTTTAGTTGTCTTTGGCTTCGCAGTTGATTTTGATGCCTTGCTTCCTCCGTTTGTTGACTGTTTGGACTGGTTGATGTAAGCCGCGACTTGACATGAAATATCTGGTTCTGTAATTGCTTGTCCACCAACGATCTTATGGATAGAACGTCTTGGCTACGATTTCTTAATGGTAATAACAGGAAGATGATCTTCAAAAAATCTTGAATCTGAGGGCTGTTCAACGATGTCAGGACATGTAACTGAAATTTCTGATGCTTTTTCCAACTGTTGATTGGCAAACGTAGATGGCTTCAGGAATGTCTTGTCAATTGCCGTTGGGTCAAATGGATAAATACCACATTTCCTGAAAGCACTGTGCAAGTTACTGGCAGACAGAGAAATCTTGTATACCTTACAGGCCAAAGAACAGACGCTATATCGGTTAACTCTTCCAGAATTTGACAGCTGCCATTTCCTACAGTCTGAACTGAAAATCTTGGTGAAAGGCCCAAAGCACGCAACATCCATCGGCTGGAGAACATGGCTTGTGTGAGGTGGTAGAACAAACAGGATTATCCCCTGATCAACAGCATAATCTATCAGATGAGGGGTGATGTGAGACCTGTGGCCGTCATATATGTAGTGTTTAGCCTTTTGTTAAGCGGTATGTTTACTAGCAGTATTACCGAGGTTATGTCCCTTGTACAATATTATGGGATAGCAAGTAAACAATCAAGCATGGTTACCGCTGTGTTGCGTTTTCTTCAACACGTTGTTCCATCGAACATCGAGTCCATCGACTCATATTAATTGCATACAAGTTTACCAACTTGTAAACATCATATTGGCGACGAGCGATGGCAGATAATCAAGACGGTGAGGTTCGTCAACCGCCTGCGCCCGCGGGACCGGTGACTGTATCGTTACCAAGTTATCCTCCGTTTGACTGCAAGTCGGATGGGAAGTTAGTGAGGTGGAATAAGTGGCGCTCCCGATTGGAAAACAATGTGTTTGTTGGATATAACATCACAGATGACAGGCAAAAGAAAGCGTTGCTATTATCGTTTGCTGGGGACGATTTGAATGACATCGTTGATGCGATACCGGCAGGTGAATTAACCCCTATTGACAATGAGACACATTTTGGAAAGCTTGTCACGGCGATAACGAATCACTTCAATCCACAAGTTAATCTGGAATTCCAGAGATATTGCTTTCGTCAATTAAAACAGAAGTCGGATTCAATTGATGAGTTTTATCATGAACTGAGACAGCATGCAAGCACATGTGATTTTGGTGATAGAATTGAAGCGGAGGTAAAATCTCAACTCATAGCTGGTTGCAAGTCGAACAAAGTTCGTGAGAAAGGCCTGAGTACCCCAGGCATGACATTGGCTGATTTGTTAACTCATGCCAGAACTCTAGAACTTACACATGAACACTCCAAACAAATTCAGTCCTCCACTCAATCCCAAAATGTGAACACTCACCAGGCAAACGCCATGACCCATAAGTACCATAAAAGAAAGCCACAGAAAACTTCTGATAACCATGATAACCATGAGAAGTCACAGAAACAGCAAACTTGTTTTAATTGTGGACGTGCTTGGCCTCATAGTGGGGGTCAGAGAAACTGTCCTGCTTTTGGAAAAAAGTGTGTGAAATGTGGAAAATCAAATCATTTTGCCAATGCGTGTAAAGATGGACATACAAATGCACCACGTGGTCGAGGGCATTTGAAGAATGTTCGCATGGTTGATGACTGCGGGGAAGAGACTTCTGATGAAGATGAGTTTGTCTTTCTGTCACAAGGTGAGAAAACCAAATCTCCAAAGTTCACCATGAAGATTAATGGACAACCTGTTATCATGTTAGCAGATTCAGGTGCATCTATCAACACAATTTCAAAAACTGTGTACCAGTCCCTCCGACCTAAACCCAATCTTCAAGAATGCAGAACAAAGGTGTTTCCTTATGGAAAGAAGGAACCAGTGCATGTGCTAGGACGTTTCACAGCCACGATTGCATCGAAGACCGCATCTGCTGAAGCGAAAATATGTGTCGTGTCTGACGTTGATGAGTGTTTGTTGAGTTGGCAAATGGCACAGGAACTTCATCTGCTAAAAATACATGAATCCGTGTATTCTTGCAAATCTGAAGATCTGATAACAGAATACAGTGATTTGTTCACGGGACTCGGCAAGCTGAAAGATGTGAAAGTACAGTTGCATATCGACAAAGATGTTCAACCAGTGGCTCAACAGTACAGACGTGTACCATTTCATGTCAGGAAGGACATAGAAACCCAGATCAAATCTGATTTGGAACGTGATGTCATTGAACGAGCTTCAGGTCCAACACCCTGGGTGTCTCCTTTAGTGGTAGTCCCTAAACCAAGTAGTCCTGGCAAGGTGAGAGTTTGTGTTGACATGAGATGTCCAAATACAGCCATAAAGCGAGAAAGACACAACTCACCAACACTGGAAGAACTCACAACTATTCTCACAGGGGCTAAAGTTTTTAGCAAACTTGACCTTAATCAGGGTTATAACCAGCTTGAATTGGTCGAAGAATCCCGGTATATCACCACTTTTGCCACACACCTTGGATTATTCAGGTACAAACGCTTGAATTTTGGAATCAACAGTGCTGCTGAAGTATTCCAAGAAACCATTAGACAAGCTGTCAGTGGTTTGAATGGTGTCATCAATATCAGTGACGACATTCTGATCCATGGGGGTGATCAACAGTCACATGACACAAATCTACATGCCTTGTTTGAACGTCTCCGTGAAAAGGGACTAACTTTAAACAGTGACAAGTGTGTTTTCAACAAGCATTCCATTGAGTTTCTTGGACATGTGTTCAGTGCTGACGGATAAACACCAAGCCAGGCAAAACTGTCTGCAATCCTAGATATGCCACCACCCAAGAATGTTTCGGAAGTGAGGAGCTTGCTTGGAATGATGAACTTCTGTGGTGCTCGTCATGTTCCAAATTATGCGACACTCACCTATGAACTCCGCCAGCTGACTCGCAAGGATGCTCAGTGGGACTGGACAGAGAAACACCAAACAGCCCTTGACAACCTGAAATCTGAACTGTGTAAAGCGACAACACTGAGTTTCTTTGATCCACAAAAACATACAGAGCTGTATGTTGACGCAAGCCCTGTTGGTTTGTGTGCGGTGCTTACTCAACCAGATTCAGATGGAAAACCCAAAGTGATTCAGTTTGCAAGCAGATCGCTCACACCCACAGAACAGAGGTACTCTCAAACTGAACGGGAAGCTTTGGCTGTCACTTGGTCTTGTGAACATTTTCACATATATGTGTTTGGATCAGTGTTTACCATATTCACCGATCATAAGCCATTAACTACACTGTTCGGGAACCCAAAGGCATCGTTACCTCCCAGAATTGAAAGATGGGTGATGAGGATTCAGCAATATCAATTCAAGATTGTCTACAGACCAGGAGCAGATAATCCGGCAGATTATCTCAGTAGACATCCAGTCCAGCAATCTGCAAGTCATAGAGAAGAGAAGATTGCTGAAGAATACATTAACTATGTTGTTACCACAGCAATCCCTAAAACCATGACGACAGACCATGTTGCTAAGGCAACAAGGAATGACCCAGTATTACAAGCTGTTATTCAGGCCTTGAACACAGGCAACTGGAAGTCAAGCAATAATGTAGACAAAGTGTATGACTCTTTGTACAAGTGTCGTAATGAACTGTCTGTCGCCATGAACAATCAAATACTGTTGAAAGGAGCTCAAATTGTGTTGCCACCAAGCTTACACAGACAAGCTGTTGATCTAGCTCATGCTGGTCACCAGGGCATCGTGAAAACAGTTTCCCTGCTTCGTGAGAAGATATGGTTTCGTGGATTGCACAATATGGTGGAACATGTGGTTAAAAACTGCCAGCACGTGAACCCCTCAAAATGTCAGAATTGCCATATGGACCATGGCAAGAGCTTAGTGCTGATTTCGGTCAGATATCAACTGGTGAATATCTGCTGGTGATGCAAGATGAATATTCATGTTATGTCATTGTAGACATACTTAAGGGCATCTCTGGTCGCAATGTAATTCCAAGACTTGAGAAAATCTTTTCAGAGTTTGGGATACCACATCAGCTCAAGACAGACAACGGCCCACCATTTAATGGCTACGAGTTCAGTACATATGCAGAACACACTGGATTCAAACATCGGAAAATAACTCCATTATGGCCGCAAGCCAATGCAGAAACTGAACGCTTCATGCGTACCATCAAAAAGTGCATTAAAGGTGCTATTGCACAAGGACAAAACTGGAAACAGGAAATGTATCGATTCCTGTTGTCTTACCGGAGTGTAGTGTAGTGTAGTGTTTAGCCTTTTGTTAAGCGGTATGTTTACTAGAGGTTATGTCCCTTGTACAATATTATGGGATAGCAAGTAAACAATCAAGCATGGTTACCGCTGTGTTGCGTTTTCTTCAACACGTTGTTCCATCGAACATCGAGTCCATCGACTCATATTACTTGCATACAAGTTTACAAACTTGTAAACATCATAATATAGCAGCAGAGTTTTCTTGTCACCTCCGACTTTGGCATACTTCACAAAATGGCCTGTCAACCATCGTTGAAATATGTCTGTATTGGACCATCCCGTCTCGCTAACAGTTCCACAAGTTCCAACTGTCGAACCATCGCGCATGCGTGAACCAGGGAAAATGAAAAAAGGTGGAATCTTCTGACCCAATGTATTGACGCATCCCAAAACAGTAACTGTAGAGGATTTCTTTGGGCAGATTTCAATTGGAACTTCGTCTGCAGATCCAACGATTTGCGGTGAAGAATGTGTGAGATTAATTCCCTTCTCATCGACGTTGTAGATCAGCTCTGGGCTTGACTTTAGGTCATACTTATCAAGGACTGCTTCAAGTTGAGAAAAATACTTGTTAATGCTCTCCTCAGATGTGGCAGTGGCTCGTAATTGAGACAATCCCCTTGGTCGTCGCAACTTCAGTTCAGGCCATCTTCCCATCAACCCATAAAACCACTGCAGTGATAGTGATTTGGAATCATTACTACGTTTCTTGAGATTTATGGCATAGTCAGTTCCAAGACAGATAACCTGCGCCCTGGTATATCCATACCCCACTGAGGCCATAAGCTTTATGTGGTCGACAAGGCGTGCTTCTTCTTCTTGGGAAAATAATGGGCCTGGTCCAGAGGACAAACATTCTGGGGAAGTAATGCCTTTAGTTCTGTCCCTCAGAGTCTGGTCAGGCACAGAGTACTTCCTGGCTGCTTTGTAGACAGAAGAACCTCGTTCAACTACTTCCAGATAGGCTTCTTTCAGTTGTGTTGGACTATAAGGCTGGTACTGTCGTTTACGTCTCGCAGGATTATCCTACAAACCACGATAAACGATATAAGATATGGCCCTACTCAGCTTCCATAGCTTTTAAAAATTGAGCGGGTATTCCCCTTAGTAGTCACATGATACAAATTACTGTTTACATCAGCTAGCAGACGAACTTCTCTTGCTGAACTTACGAGTTGAATATTTTTTACGATCTCATTTTTTATAATGGTACAAAAAGTGCATTACGTGCAGAATTTAGTTTATCGTAATATAAAGCTGTACTTACGCAAATAGATGCAATTCTGAACATTTTTCGCTCGGAGCTGTCACGATCGAGTTGTCAATGTAAATAATCGCTAGGGGGCGCAAATCCGTGCGAGGTGCGCGAGAAATGACGTCATAAAAAAATACCACGGATTGATGTGTCGGCAGGATACAGGAATTATGTTTTCTCTCACATATGAGCATGAGTAGTTTTATCTGGACCAGATGACAGGGAGCAATACACTACAGTCATTGATGGACTGACCATCATTTTATCACTTTACCTCTGGGTTTGCTGGAAATATGTTGTCTACCAGTCTCTTGTAACGAGGTTTCAAGGCTGCACAACAGCCACAGCAGCCTGGGAACAGGTAAATATTCAGCAAGTCAGTTTCATGTCAAACATGTTAAAAGGTTGTGTTTGCTATACATTGTTAATAAGAGAATAAGAATTCTTGGTTTCACCTGCATCTTTAAATAATATGTTTGTTTGTTGTTGAACACCTTATTAAGTAATATTCAAGCTATATGATGGCAGTATGTTAGTAATCGTGCCTGGACCAGGAAATCCAGTGATTGATATTGTGAACAACAATTAGGTCTAGGTTACGATGACACACAATCAAACCAAGTCATCGAGTATTATATACCACCCAATACATTTGGTCACCCCTTACAACTAGCATAGGTTGGGTTCCTATTCTAACCTGAATAACCAAGGGGCTAAACCAAATGTAAAATTGAAACGATATGTTTGCTATCAACATTAACGCTAGTTGCCATATTCAATCTCTGCTTGGCTACAAAACATTTCCATGTCATATTCTTCCTCTTACATTAAAATACCTTTCATTGCTTACAGGAGAAAATATCTTGTTTGCACCAAAGACAAGTTTTACAAATTCATTAGACAAATATTTCGTTTATTAAACAAACTAACCCTTATCCATTTAATCTTGGCACCACTTTTTTTAACAAGGGCGTGCCACTGAGTCCAGTGTCAGTACAGTCAGGAGCATTGAGTCCTGCCACGGTACAATGACTCAGTCAATGGATCGCATACACAAATCGAGAGACACTTTTTAACAAAATAAGGGAATAGAGGATTTAATATTTAGTGTCCTTAATTAAAGCTTCAATGATGAAAGGACTCGGTTTGTTACCAACCACCGGCCGGTTTCACGGGTTTGTCAACGGCAACAGACACCTGTTTTCATTGACGGTTTTACGTTTGTTCCTAGTGCATATATCTTACCTGCCATCCCGTTTAGTACTTAGGACAGCGCTATTGTGTGCCGAATCGGAAGACTTTGCAAATCAGGCATCAAGGTGAAGATAAGTGTCTTAAATTCTTATAATAATATTGGAGAGATCCAATCGAAATGAAACGGTAGCCATGTTAGATTTGCACGCCCCCTGGGAAATGCCTACAGGAGTTACCTCCCATGAAACACCAGCGCGCTGAGAAATCGACACGAAAGACAGAAATTATGATTTTGCATTATATATCACCAATATATATATATATATATATATATATATATATATATATATATATATATAAAGAACAGCCATTTAATGCGTTGTTACTATTACTTTTACTTCCTGTGAAATAGTGCGACAAATAATACTTTCATAAAAGGTCTATTGCGAATAGAGCCATGAAGTTACTTTGTCAAGCCAGATGCATGTATAAGCGGGTTGGATTAAGTTCCTTTTAAATTTAAATACTCTCTGATTTACAATTTTGCTTTATTAATGTATGTTCATTTAAACATTTGCCTGTTGGCCAAATATATTAATTGTATCAAACTTTCTTATATTTGAAATGTATGTATTTCAAGGACTTAATAATAACAGCAAAGAAACAACATATAAATTTAGCATTATGTCAGTACCAGCTATTTGTGGGAATTCATTTCGAGAGATAATCATCAATTCGAATTTTGTCTGATGAATCACGTGTGCACATCGGAGTGAGTGAGTAATATTTCAGCAATATCACGACGGGGACGCCGAAAAATGGGCTTCATGCACGCATTGTACCCATTTGGGGAATCGGACCCGGGGTCTTCGGCGTGACGATCGAACGCGTTAAACCACTCGACTATCCCAGCGCCCCTATGCAGGTTGATTCTCCATGATAGTAAGAGCTTTTGAATCGAGAACAATCACACGTATATCACTCCACCACATTCTGGGTGACATATGCATTAATCGAGTCTATGATTAGCGGATACGGACAATAGCAAGGGGCGCAACTCTGCGAAGCGATATCCTTCTTTAAGCTTGTGCTTGTCCGGACTAATGCCGATGTAATAGAGCTCGCCCACTGAGATACCTTGCCGCGTTTAAATATGAATACTCCACTCAGTTTTAGCACCTTAATGCCGAGCGCCAGGCAGGGTAACAACAAGCACATCTTGTTAACGCGTTTTGGTATGACGCGGCCGGAGATCGAACACCCAACCTTCCGCCCTCCGGGAAGACGCTCTACCAATATACCACGGTGGCGTCTATCCTACATTAGATATTGACGTACTACCCTTTATGTATGCACAGTCTGCTCGCTATAATGACACGCGACTCTTTTACGCATCGCTTCACTTCTGCTCACGTGTCTGAGTATCATATATAACTGCCTACAGTAAGCCAATAACTCACGTGTCTGAGTATCATACATAGCTGCCTACAGTAAGCCAATCACTCTATTGTCTGAGTATCATATATAGCTGCCTACAGTAAGCCAATCACTCACGTGTCTGAGTATCATACATACCTGCCTTCACTAAGCCAATAACTCACGTGTCTGAGTATAATACATAGCTACCTACAGTAAGCCAATCACTCACGTGTCTGAGTATCATATATAGCTGCCTACAGTAAGCCAATAACTCACGTGTCTGAGTATCATATATAGCTTCCTACAGTAAGCCAATCACTCACGTGTCTGAGTATCATACATAGCTGCCTACAGTAAGCCAATCACTCACGTGTCTGAGTATCATACATAGCTGCCTTCACTAAGCCAATAACTCACGTGTCTGAGTATCATACATAGCTACCTACAGTAAGCCAATCACTCACGTGTGTGAGTATCATATATAGCTGCCTACAGTAAGCCAATAACTCATGTGTCTGAGTATCATATATAGCTGCCTACAGTAAGCCAATCACTCACGTGTCTGAGTATCATACATAGCTGCCTACAGCAAGCCAATCACTCACGTGTCTGAATATCATACATATCTGTCTACAGTAAGCCAATCACTCACGTGTCTGAGTATCATACATAGCTACCTACAGTAAGCCAATCACTCACGTGTCTGAGTATCATACATAGCTACCTACAGTAAGCCAATCACTCACGTGTCTGAGTATCATATATAGCTGCCTACAGTAAGCCAATAACTCACGTGTCTGAGTATCATATATAGCTGCCTACAGTAAGCCAATCACTCACGTGTCTGAGTATCATACATAGCTGCCTACAGCAAGCCAATCACTCACGTGTCTGAGTATCATACATAGCTGCCTTCACTAAGCCAATAACTCACGTGTCTGAGTATAATACATAGCTACCTACAGTAAGCCAATCACTCACGTGTCTGAGTATCATATATAGCTGCCTACAGTAAGCCAATCACTCACGTGTCTGAGTATCATATATAGCTTCCTACAGTAAGCCAATCACTCACGTGTCTGAGTATCATACATAGCTGCCTACAGTAAGCCAATCACTCACGTGTCTGAGTATCATACATAGCTGCCTTCACTAAGCCAATAACTCACGTGTCTGAGTATCATACATAGCTACCTACAGTAAGCCAATCACTCACGTGTCTGAGTATCATATATAGCTGCCTACAGTAAGCCAATAACTCATGTGTCTGAGTATCATATATAGCTGCCTACAGTAAGCCAATCACTCACGTGTCTGAGTATCATACATAGCTGCCTACAGCAAGCCAATCACTCACGTGTCTGAATATCATACATATCTGTCTACAGTAAGCCAATCACTCACGTGTCTGAGTATCATACATAGCTACCTACAGTAAGCCAATCACTCACGTGTCTGAGTATCATACATAGCTACCTACAGTAAGCCAATCACTCACGTGTCTGAGTATCATATATAGCTGCCTACAGTAAGCCAATAACTCACGTGTCTGAGTATCATATATAGCTGCCTACAGTAAGCCAATCACTCACGTGTCTGAGTATCATACATAGCTGCCTACAGTGAGCCAATCACTCACGTGTCTGAGTATCATACATAGCTGCCTTCACTAAGCCAATAACTCACGTGTCTGAGTATAATACATAGCTACCTACAGTAAGCCAATCACTCACGTGTCTGAGTATCATATATAGCTGCCTACAGTAAGCCAATCACTCACGTGTCTGAGTATCATATATAGCTGCCTACAGTAAGCCAATCACTCACGTGTCTGAGTATCATACATAGCTGCCTACAGTAAGCCAATCACTCACGTGTCTGAATATCATACATATCTGTCTACAGTAAGCCAAAAACTCACGTGTCTGAGTATAATACATAGCTGTCTACAGTAAACCAATAACCACGTGTCTGAGTATCATACATAGCTGCCTACAGTAAGCCAATCACTCACGTGTCTGAGTATCATACAAAGCTGCCTACAGTAAGCCAATCACTCACGTGTCTGAGTATCATATATAGCTGCCTACAGTAAGCCAATCACTCACGTGTCTGAGTATCATACATAGCTGCCTACAGTAAGCCAATCACTAACGTGTGTGAGTATCATATATAGCTGCCAACAGTAAACCAATAACTCACGTGTCTGAGTATCATACATAGCTGCCCGCAGTAAGCCAATCACTCACGTGTCAGAGTATCATACATATCTGTCTACAGTAAGCCAATCACTCACGTGTCAGAGTATCATACATAGCTGCCTACAGTAAGCCAATCACTCACGTGTCTGAGTATCATATATAGCTGCCTACAGTAAGCCAATCACTCACGTGTCTGAGTATCATATATAGCTGCCTACAGTGAGCCAATCACTCACGTGTCTGAGTATCATACATAGCTGCCTTCACTAAGCCAATAACTCACGTGTCTGAGTATAATACATAGCTACCTACAGTAAGCCAATCACTCACGTGTGTGAGTATCATATATAGCTGCCTACAGTAAGCCAATAACTCACGTGTCTGAGTATCATATATAGCTGCCTACAGTAAGCCAATCACTCACGTGTCTGAGTATCATACATAGCTGCCTACAGTAAGCCAATCACTCACGTGTCTGAATATCATACATATCTGTCTACGTAAGCCAATCACTCACGTGTCAGAGTATCATACATAGCTGCCTACAGTAAGCCAATAACTCACGTGTCTGAGTATCACATATAGCTACCTACAGTAAGCCAATCACTCACGTGTCTGAGTATCATACAAAGCTGCCTGCAGTAAGCCAATCACTCACGTGTCTGAGTATCATATATAGCTGCCTACAGTAAGCCAATCACTCACGTGTCTGAGTATCATACATAGCTGCCTACAGTAAGCCAATCACTAACGTGTGTGAGTATCATATATAGCTGCCAACAGTAAACCAATAACTCACGTGTCTGAGTATCATACATAGCTGCCCGCAGTAAGCCAATCACTCACGTGTCAGAGTATCATACATATCTGTCTACAGTAAGCCAATCACTCACGTGTCAGAGTATCATACATAGCTGCCTACAGTAAGCCAATCACTCACGTGTCTGAGTATCATATATAGCTGCCTACAGTAAGCCAATCACTCACGTGTCTGAGTATCATACATAGCTGCCTACAGTGAGCCAATCACTCACGTGTCTGAGTATCATACATAGCTGCCTTCACTAAGCCAATAACTCACGTGTCTGAGTATAATACATAGCTACCTACAGTAAGCCAATCACTCACGTGTGTGAGTATCATATATAGCTGCCTACAGTAAGCCAATAACTCACGTGTCTGAGTATCATATATAGCTGCCTACAGTAAGCCAATCACTCACGTGTCTGAGTATCATACATAGCTGCCTACAGTAAGCCAATCACTCACGTGTCTGAATATCATACATATCTGTCTACGTAAGCCAATCACTCACGTGTCAGAGTATCATACATAGCTGCCTACAGTAAGCCAATAACTCACGTGTCTGAGTATCACATATAGCTGCCTACAGTAAGCAAATCACTCACGTGTCTGAGTGTCATACATATCTGTCTACAGTAAGCCAATCACTCACGTGTCTGAGTATCATATATAGCTGCCTACAGTAAACCAATAACTCACGTGTCTGAGTATCATATATAGATGCCTACAGTAAGCCAATCACTCACGTGTCTAAGTATCATACATAGCTGCCTACA